ATATGCCCTTTCTCAAGCCTATAAGTGTATTATTTTCCTTTTATACCTTAAAGCTTTGAACAAACACATATTGAGGGTAAACCCTCGCAATGTGACGGAGCCAGTACAGTCCATCTGAATCTTGATCCTTACCTATCTCTGTAGTCAATTTTTTACTTGTAAGCACATTTTTGCTGAGCTACATTTTCACAGTCTGTTTCTAGAAAGTCAGAGTAAGAAAATATTTCAACTGCATTTAAAAAACCTTACTTTAACAAAAAATAGTTAATGATACTCATTTTCAATTTTTCATACATCGTTTTTCAGATTCATGATCAAATACAGAACAATTTGATTCCACAATTGCCTTCTACACCACCTAGTGGTGAAGCCATCCGTCTATACCTCATGTTACCTGAATGTGATTTGTTTGACAGACCTGAGTTTTACCATTCCTTGATATGCCAGTTTGCCAAGAGTTTCCTGGACCTAGATAAAAAAGCTAGAAAGATATTCAGTAAGTCATTTTGTTCATTTAATATTTCAGTAAGGTCTTTTGTTTTTGTTCTTATTTCTAGAATCGGTCTGTATGTAGAGCGAGTAAAGGACTGGTCTGCAATATTACCAGTCTAGCACCATAAGCCTGATGTGCAATTGGCTTCAATGGATTCCTTACTTATTTTATTTGTTTGTACCAAATATTTCAGTAAGGTCTTTAGTTTTTGTTTCCGTTCTGGTCTTTTTCCTAAAGTCCATGCTTTATGGCATTGGTAGTCATATCATATCCGCAACCTTCTGTCTCGTATACTTTAAATCAGCTCTGACATAGATGATCCTCCATGCCATGATGTCACACTGTCCAGCATCTTTTCTCTTGGTCTCCGTCTGCCTCTCCTCCTCTCCAACTTTTCTACAGTCACGATGTACTCCAGTTTTCTCCTTCTCATCATATGACCAAAGAATGTAGATTGTCTCTTCCTGATTTGTGCAATCAGTTCTCTTTGTGAGTCTTTCAAGAAACCCTCATTACTGTTTAAAAAAAAATAAAATCTGTCCAAGGTATTTTTGTGCTAATATTAGAGTGTATATACTGTAAACAACAAAGGAGGTAAATAAAAATGTAAAAACTGTAAGGTATATATCACTATTCTCTGCAAGCTATAAGATATACATGCTTATAATTGGTACTGCTGACCAGACTAAAACCATATGTGGAAGACATATTAGGTGATTACCAGAAGAGTTTATGACAGAACAAATCAATAGCGTATCAGATATCAGATATTTCTTTTCAGACAAACAGCAGGAAAAAACTGGGTATGTAGAAGAGTCGCACATATTTTTTTTTTTGCGAATTCAAAATGATGTATTTTAAGTATATGATTATATACATAGAAATAGCTTATGGAATGCTGTGCGGGACTTTGAAATACCAAGGAAGTTATCAACATGACCGGACTATGCATGAAAGACACTTTTAACTCTTTGAGTCCCAAGGAACGCATCATACGTTCATAGATTCCTACTTAGAAGCCCAATGAATGCATGGTGTGCCAATTTTACATCTCTCTTGACTACCCCTTGGGCCTGTGATGCTAAACCCGCTGGGACTCAAAGAGTTAATATAGTAAAATATAAAGACAGAAAAGTAGTTCCTCTTAATATAATAGTTGTTTACAGCAAGGTGATGCTTTGTATCTGCTTCTTTTCAGCTTGGCTGTGTAAAAAATTATCAGGAAGGTAAAAGAAGTTGTACTATGGGAGAAACTTCAAGAATATGTGTCTGTGTGATGACATAGACAGTTGAAGAAAATGAACTAGAGACAGTAAAAACACTGACTCTCTTTAGGGAAACAACTAAAAATAAATTGGACTAGTTATCAATCAAGACAAGACAATACACACTGTAATAACACAACAGTGAAAAGATAAAAACTTTGGCCATATACAAATAAATAATATGAAAATCAAACGAACTGAAACATAGAAGTGCTTGGGTACAAACTTCAACCGCTCCAGCACACTGAGAGAAGAAATCCAGTCTGGAATATAATCTAGAGTACAATCTAGAGCACATTTTGAAATGAAAAAATACTATACTCAACAACTGACTTGAAGATGGGCACAGGACATAAGTGACTCCTTGAGTATGAAAGTATATGAGGCGGAAGAACTGGCGAGAAACAGAGTTTCTTTCAGGCAGACTGTGATGAGAGCGATGTTCTGCAAAGGACCTGCTACAAGATGATGATGATACTCAACAACATCTGCTGAAATCAAGTTCTCTACTTCTTAAGGCCAAGATCACATTATATTTAAAAACAACTGAAAAGACTAGTTGTCTTATATTGCTCTGCAACCCGGAGTACAACTGAAAGAATTCAAACATTATCACAGGTTTTTTTTAAACAGTCGACTTGATAAAACTTTGGACCTGTCAAAGATGCAGACAGCGGGGGAGTGGAGAAGGAGAAGACACAATGAAATTCATTGTCTGTTTAAATCATCATTGATCACTGTCATCATGGTGGTTAATAGACTGAAATGGCTGGGGCATATAGAGAATGGCAGATGACAGATAGGCCACACAAAAATCTGTACACAGGAGAGTTAAATGGCTGCAGACCACCAAGAATATGGTGGAGAGATAGCATGCAGATCTTCAAACACATGGAGTCAACAGCTTGAAAGAAAGGACCAGTAATAAATTTATGGAGGTGGCTGATAGTAAAAAAGAACCCTTTTCAGGCCTTTAGGTGCATCGGGCATATGAGAAGAGCACCCCATATATTTACAGATGAATCGGCACTAGGTGGGTAATGTGGTCAGCAATACGCTGGTGGCTATCTTCAGCAATAAACCGCAAAAGCTCAAAATGCTGAGGAAGAAAAACAGAATGTACTGTAACATTTTTGCTTAATCATTGCTGTTGCATTGTTTAGTGTAAAATGGAATATATTCACTTAAGGTACAGGATATATAAAGATATTTGATCAAATTGCAACACAGTGAGATAAAAATAGTTTTATTTTTTATTTTTTTATTAAATATAATTCTGAGTTTCCAGAACATTGTATATATTAAAAAAAAAAAAACAGTACAGTTTTGCACAAAGAAAAGAGTATCTAATTAAATCAATTGAAAATTACTGGGCTAAAATCCCTATGTGGGTTCTAGGGCCCCATTTTGTTTTGGTGGAAACAAATAATAGACCCATGCCTCTACCTCCCAATTAGCATGTCATGGGAGGCAACAAATCAGAGGTGTTTCACCACAAGTTAAGAGTGCATCTGCCTGAGAGAGTTGGAACCAACAGTCCGCAAAAATCTCAGATCTGTAAACTGAATGCACACAGAAAGCTTAAATTCTGAAACAAGACTAAAGTCCAGAAGTGGATGAACAACCGGAACTTTCTGCCAGACATAATAATAAGAATTGCTAATAAGATATAACATTTAAATACACGCTATTGCTAATTAAAAAAAATTATGCATGAGGTGTGGAAATAAATTACTACCCATTATATTCTTTCAGCATCTTGGTGCACATGTAGCCAGGCATCTTTTTTCAAAAAATTGGTGGTGGTGAGTATCAGTTTGTACATTTTTAAACGGGACCTGTTATGATAACTATAACTTTTGATTCTGTTGTTCTCTAGTGTATTTTCCTGTCTGTACTTCTTTCTTCTCTGTCTGTGAGCGCCAGTCACTATATTACAGTATGTTCATTACACTCCCTGGACATACATACCATAATGATGTTTATAATGATTTTAGTTTCATTTTTTAAAACTCTAACTAAGGGCCATTGCTGTATTTGGTTACCTTTAAGGAAACTTATTAAAATCTTTAAGAAAACAATTATCTATACTCTGTACCACATTCTTCTTTGAATTTGATAAAAATTAATTTATTAATTAGTATGTCACTTATTTGTCTTATCAACTCAATTCCTAGGTTAAAACTAATCTTTTGATAATTTTATACATGGTACTGTTCATTCATATGCTTTTTCTGAGAAACTGTAACGAAAGCTACAGTACTTTTATGCAAACACTTTTCAGATATTCCAACAATGTTCCCTTTATCTGCTGCAGTTGCCTTATTCCCCAAGATCCACACAGGTAAGATCTTTTGTGTGTAACAACAGATAACTAATCATTTCCTTGTAGGAAGCAATTTTTCATTATTTTGAAGCCCTACCCTGGCTCTTGCCATGGGGCCGCAATAAAACCCGGGCATAAATATGGTATAATGGCTGAACGTGGTTTCCAGGACCTCTCCATGGGTGATCCTCATCCACATGGTGGCACTTGTGTCATTTGCTGTTTATCGCTAATGTGATGTCCTGGTGGGATAGAAAGTCAGTTCGGTTCAGATTTCTGTGTAGGTAATTCCTGCCTGCTCAAGATAGCAGGGTACACCAGAATAACACTGGGTGTAACCATTAAAGGTATTGTAATGAGTACGAGTTAAGAACTAACATCATAGCACTCTGGATATTCCCATGTGAACTTCATACCCACTTTCAGCAGCAAGCACAGAAGTCCAATTATGATGTTACCAGTAACAATCTGTGTGTATGCCTGTCTCACCTCTTCCCTGAGTGTTGGCCAGATCCTCTTGTCAACCCTCACTGCACTAATCTCTTCAGTCCACGATGATCTATCTCTACCTCTGTACTGTTCAAAGGACTCTTGCAACATCTAGCTTTGGATGTGTCACCCAAAAGGTGCAAATATCTCAGCCATGTTCTAAATGAGCACATTTATGTCTTCCGATGAATGCAGAAGAAGTTGCACAGTGTCTGGCATCGTTGAGTTTATATACAAATCATATTTCCTTCATGTCTCTTGATCTTCTTCTTCTTCGAGTTCACCAGCTGTAAACTCTGGGTTCTGGTTGTCCGTCCACTTCTGCACTGCAGTCCTTTTCCAGATCCTGAGTGTTGCATGTGCATCTGTTTTACAGATCTGACTGATCTGTATGCAAATTGTTGGTTCCTTGCCTCTCAGACAGATGCACTCTGACTTTAAAGGAAGCTCCCAATTAAACAACTCTTACGACATGCTTTTGGGTAGGCAATGGGTCTATTCTTGTTTTCCCTGTAATAGGGTCTTGAAACCCACACTGGAAATGTTTAGTTGATGTAAATGATTCAGTGAAACTTATTCTAATCAACTGTGATGGTTATGGGTCTAACTAGACCGATGTTGTCATTTGATGAGGATAATTATTTACTTTGTTACTTATTCTTCAATAAAGTGAACTTTTAAAGCTGCATACTTCATTTATCTAATGTATGTTCAAAGTTTTTATTTTTTACATTATAAGCATTATCCAGTTTGTAACTTTTTATTGTTTAAAATTTATTATATACAACACTGCAGATATAGATAATTTATTTCAAGCGAACGAAAGAAGAAGAAGAAGAAGAAGAAGAAGAAGAGTTATTACATTTCAGCCATATATATTGCTCAACAGCAATGCATAATCTTTTATCTTTATTTTTATTTCTTTTAAATTTAATTTAGGATGTGAAAAGAAACAAAGACCTCCGGACATGTTTGAATATGTTGAAGATGTTGCACCAGGTATGGGTATAGTTTTGTTTTCTAATTCTGTGACTGAACAGAGATGTTGAGTTTTAGGCTGTCAGATTCACTGGAACACAACTTTGTAAGTTACATCAACAGCACAACTGAAATCCACAAAATTAAAAAAAAATTAAAAATCAGATTGCTTAATACCATTAATACAAAAAAAGAATTAATTACATAGCGGTGAATTTGACACATATGCAAAGAATAGGTTAGTTGCGTATCCTTAACAGGACGTTGCAGAACCAACCCCAACAGCCCCTGGCTGTTGTGTGGTTTTTCTAGGCAAATTTACGTCCAGTAGTTTGCCATTGCTTTCTGGACGGTTGGCTTTCTTGATAACAGGAGATTTAAAGAAGAAAAAAAAGGTAGGAGGGCTTGAAGTGAATAGTTTGAAGGCCAGCAAGTAGAAGAGGAAATATAGGAGGGTTGGAGATAGAGAAATAGAAAAGCAGGAACAAGAACGAATGAATGAATGAACGAACAAATTTTATTTTCAGAGGGTTACAAATTGGGCATGCAGGCTCGTTTTACATTCAGCCTTTCAAGCATTCATCCTTCATACAGCAGTTCAATTTTAAATATCAAGCTTACTATGTTCATAGATCAAAATTCACTGTATATATTATGTAAAGTAAAAATACAAAAGCATGGATGTTCAATACATACCTTCAAATATACATGCTAAAATACTCACATATCGCAGACACACACAAGCACACACAAACACAACAAGTTTACACAAACAGGCACACCTATTTATGAAACACATACAACTTAAACAGGCATACACACAATCACAGATGGAACACATACACAGACCCAACACACATTCAAAGACAAACAACACACAGAGTCAAAACACGTACACACAGACACGACGTGCACATAGACAATACATCAATACAACATACAGAGGCATGCATACTCTCACATACACAACACATACACATCGACACAACCAACAGACACAAAGCCAATTCATGCACACAGACTCAAAATTCAAATACACAAAAATACAAACATAAGATGCCATACAATAAGAAAGTTGGTGGAAAAGATTTTTTAAAAAGGGGGCGGGGGGGGGGGGGGAGTAAAGAGAAGAGATGTTAGATAGTCAAGCATCATGGCATGAAGACACATCTATATCAAGAAACATCGGTGCTAGTCAAACTTTACGGGTCGTTGAGTAAATTATAAAAGACAGTGAAGTTCACACTAGAGACAACACTGCAGATATCGATAATCTATTTCAAGCGAACGAAAGAAGAAGAAGACATCTGTATCAGATTTTTTTTCAAACAGTTTATAAGGCAGACGATAACAAACCAGACAAAAAGTAGAACCAGTCTGCTTCACAGTATTCCAGACAAACAACACGTTAACGTTTCAGCTATAGAGTCTTTATCCGAACATTCCATAAATCTACAATACTATAGGTACAAACAAGAATATACAGTAAAATCATGTAACTGATATATTTCTGACAGAAAACACATATTTGTCTGGCTAGTAGAATGTCTGACATGTGGGTGGCCAATGGAAATAAAAACTGACTAGAAAAATCTGTGAGCGACAAGGGTCGTTACTCAAAGATATTAGATAAAAAGACTCCCTTTATGGGTTTAGGGCCTCATTGTGGAGAAAACAAAAATAGACCCACTGTCTCCTGAAATGTGCACCCACGATGCTAAGAGGTGTCCGTCCCATTTGAACGTGCGATCAGGTAACAGAACGAGTGCAGCATAAATATATTGCAATGACACCAGCCAAGTGTGGTAGAACAGTCAGATATTAATTCCAATGAGGAAACAGGAAGCCTATAACAATTAAAATCAACTTCAATATGTCCAAACGGGAAGTTAAATGACAAAGGTTGGGTAAGGAGCGTAACATAGATATATTGTGAACACGATGGCTCGAATGAAAGAAATGTGCACAACTTGATACAGGGTTTAAACTCACCCAACTACTCTAGGACTCACTAGTGCACTCACACTCTTGCAACACTATGATCCCTGTTAGATCTCCTATTCTGGCAACTCCTTACGGGTCAACAGTACAACCTTGAGAGTCTAAACAGTAACTGCGACCGCTTTATCCGCAGTCTGATTCTACATAAGAGGGCAATGTCCCTAATTCTTGATTCGGCCAGCTTTCCTGCTAAGTGATTCAATAGTTTTAAATATTCCTGCTTCCTGCAGAGTGTAATAACGTACCAGCTCTCGGCTGAGGTTTCTACGTGGAATCCCGGGGTAGAACTTCCTCAAGGATCCACTAAGACCAGACCACACGTCTGTCTCCTTCAAACTTTTTACTCTCAATCCCCTAGATTCCAATGCCCTGACAACAATATGTATTGTTTGACGTCCTATTTGCTCAATCAGTATCGGTGTGTTTTAGTGCATATCCGCACGCGACATCTCTCAAGAAATTATGTTGTAGGAGTCAACTAATTGGGAGCTGCATTCGGAGTCAGAATGCATCTGCCTTAGAGGCAAGAAACAAATAATCTGCATATAAATAAGTCAGATCTCTAGTTTAAATCCAGTGAACTCGAACAAGAAGAAGAATAAAGACATCAAGATAGAGGCTTTGGAAAGATGTGATCACCAACACTACATGGCATGGACTATAATAAAATAATACAAGGGTCACTATGGTGTAGTAGGTTCTGATCTTGTCGGTGTATTAGATACTGATCAAATCATTTCATTGATATCTTCAGCATCTGTATTTGGCTCCTGTAAAATTATGTCTATATAAGTAATGAAGAGTAATGATGGAGAGGATGCATCCTTGTCTGACACCTGATCTGATAGTAAACCAGACTGTCATTCTTTCTGTTATTCTTACTGTACACTAACAAGCTTTCTTGATAAAAACCATGATGTTGCATTAATTCATTGGTTTAAATGTACTTTCATAAGGTTGAAGCATTTTAATTTAAAAGCTGTAATTTATTGAAATGAAATCTTAGTAAAAAAATACATAAAAGTGACATCATAAAATGAGGGTTATAAAATGTTGATATTAGAAAGTCTTGAATAGTTATCTTTTTTATTGTACTCATTCATCAGGTAAAATATATTTCATTATAATTTGTAGGTGAATGAAGCAAAAAATATACTACCTGCCAACACTTTTATTATGCCTGAATTCAAAGACAAGGTGGATGTTCAGAAAGAATATATAAATCTTCGTCGGTCACAGTCACCAGAACTGAACACAGAGGTCTGTAAACATATATCACTTGTCATGTTTTGGCATCTGTGGCTTTGGGGCTGCAGTTGCGCTTTGTAATTCTGAGATACCCACTTTGATTTCAACTGCAGCTGATTTGGCAGAAGACAGCTCTGCATTGATTTTTACAGTAGTACCAAGAACCAACCATTCAGGGAGCAGTGGTTTGTTCTTCTTCTTTTGTCGTCTCACTGATACCAGGTTGTTGCTCATTGTTGTGACATTAGTGGCAAACTACTGAAGATGAATTTGCCTAGTAAAAGCACAAACAGGCAACAAATGCTGGGGTTGGCTTGCAGTTTCCTCTAAGCAATGCACAACTTAGTTGTTTTTTTGTTGCATGATTGCGAATAAAGTTTTTCTCTAGTGTAATTTTGAGGGTGAAAGGTGAAAAGGAAGTTGAGAGAGAGGCTTGTACCGGTGAAATTTTGAGATTTGAGGCCTGTGGTATTGCCACATTTGCTCATATCATAATTCTGAGGATGTAGAGCAGTAGAAGAACACTAACTGTAAACACACTTTTCTGGCAAACAACAACTTACACATGTGGCTATAGAACAGGACATGACTTGGTATCACTTGCATATCCTCAGTCTTGAACTATACTTCATTTCTAAAGGTGTAGTTATTTTTAAAATCTACACAGCTTTATAGTCAACCATTTTTAAGATTAATAAATGACTGAATTATTATCATCATCATCAGGTGCCTTGCCGACTGGCTAGGGCAATCATGCCTCTGGCGTACAAATAAGCCAGGTATGTAAAATGAATGTGCTCACAAAAATACTCAAGTTCTGGAAAAGGACTGAAGTCCAGATGTGGATAAACAGTTAGAACCTTCTGCCAAAGTTGTCAACCGGTGGGTGCAATGAAGAAAAATAAGTTTGGAGGGCATTGGATCTATTCTTTCCCCTCCCCCCCCCCCCTCCTCAAAATGGTGCCCAGAACCCATAGAGGGCTAATCCTACAATTTGATTCCCTCTATTCTTCACAAGCAGTAGACTTCCTTGTCCAGTATTAAATGTTAAATGTTAATTATGAATACATTGAAAATTTAAGTTTCTTTGTTTCATTGGAATTTGTATTAAAACAGAATGCACTTTACAATCATATTCAGGTGTTTAAACAGCTTCTGCAGCAACTGGTGTCATTACTAAGCGAACACAGCATTCAAGAGGTAAGTATTTGTTATGCTCTGATAGCATTGTTATTGTTCATCCTTCAAAAGGGATGATTGTCACTCATAATCCAGTGAGATTAAATTATTATGAGTAGGAAGTGTGAACCTAGAAAATTTAATAGTATAGTTAAAAAATAAAAAATGGTTGATGAACTAGAAATGAGGTTTGCTGCAATGAGCTTCTTGCTCGGTGGATTATTTAATCATGATTGCACTTTTGCAATTCCTACAATGAGCAAATTGGTTTTTTATGATTATATATATTTTTTGCACATAATCCAATATGCACTCAGTAACATGCGTCAACATTTTGGCTGGAAGACAAAGTAAAAAAAAATTCTAACTTTAAAAAATATAGTTTTTCAAATTGTGTAAATAGTGAACTACTAAATGTTTTTATTAAAAAAGGATGTGTACAATATGAAATTATCAACCAGTGCAGTAAATGAGACTAAGAATTGGGACAGCTAGCTCCTTTTACAACATAAGACTATCCATATTATCAAAAAGAATCATCTCACACTCAGCGTTTTCATGCGGACCCTATGCTACCAGAAAATTAGTAACCATGGAAATGAATTGTCTGAGAAAGGCTGCAGAAGTGACCAGAGGATATAAAATCAGGAATAAAACATGCAAAGACAGCAAATAAAATAGTTTGCTCACTTTGAAGGATAGCTTGTGACTACATACCATATAAGGTTAGTTGCATATCCTTTTCAGGATGTTGCAGAACCAACCCCAACAACCCCTGGCTGTTGTGTGGTTTCTCTAGGCAAATTTATGTCCAGTAGTTTGCCATTGCTTTCTAGACGGTCGGCCCCCTGATACCACCGCCGAAACCAACGCAAGGCACATGGCCCACAGCTGGGATGGCACCCCAGCATTACGAAGCGTTCGCATCGATTTAGCCACAGAGCCGACCTACCATATAAGGCATACACCAAAAGAGGGGAGGAATGTGGAGCAAGGGATAGACCAAAAACAAGATGGAAAAATAACATCAGAGAAATTCTACAGCAGCAGGATATGTTTATGGTTGAGACGGCCAGAAGCGCAAGAACTAGAACCTTACGTCTCCCTCAACACTGAAGCAGGACAAAAGGAAAGGGAAGAAGAAGAAGATGAAGAAGAAGAAGAAAAGCAGTATGAAAAGCCTAAATGGGGGGTGTTAACCGAATCAACCACCGAGTGTTCATTGGTCTATATATGGGTCTAGTACCATTTGGCCAGTATGCCAATTGTGTGAAAAGGTTACTTTAATTTATTCTTTATCCACACAAATAATCATGCCAAGTTTGACTGTTTTCATAGTCTAGTTAGAACATACTAAATAAATCTGACAACAAATTTGTTTTCTTACGGAGTATGTATATTAAAAATGGAAATAACACAGAAATAAAATGTCTACAATGAATCCTATGGTTGAAAAGCAGAAACAGGATTTGACATGAAAGCATCACCGAAAAAAGCTGGGATGGAACAGGGCTAATCTACATACAGAGAAAAGAACGAGTGGTTTAGATATAAGACTGCCAGCAGGATAGGGCACTGCAGACAGCCCTGTCACTAGGACATGAAAACAAAGCTAGAGGTCACCCACAAAAGTGATAGATAGATGGAATATATAAGGTCATAAATACCAGCATCTACGTAGGACATCACAAGGCTCACAACCGATGTTTCTTCAAAACCTTATATTGAAAGGTGAAACAGGACTGGAGATAATAAATAAGAAGTATCTATATTTGTCCCCTGTGAAAGTAATGCCCTGGTGAGTTTAATTTGCCAACATTTCTCACATTGGGCAGTTAATGGGACCTCCTGGAGCTGAAAGAGTTAAGTGAACAGAGTAGAGTGGCTAAAATAGTATGATGGAATCACCAAAATGGAGGTCTAAGAGAAAAACTTTTAAAAATTCACTAAACCAAGAGGTGAGAGAAAGATGTTGCTGATGTGTAGGACACACATTGAGAATCCTGTTAATAACATATCTAGATATTTCTTACTCTGAGACCAGGAGGACAGCAGAAATATAATAAGATCTGAAAACACACAGAGAAGCGAATCCACTACAGACATGAGTCGTAAAAAAGAATACACCAATTTAACTACAGCAGATAGAATATGATAAGTGAACTTGGCTTGACTGTTGAGTAGACCTATGAGTTGATATGTGAACTCTGTCGTAGGTTTGAGGTTTGAACAACGGATCAACATCATGGCACACTGGTAGTAACCCATAAGTGCTCTGATCTTCTTCTAACTCAAGTCTGAGTCTGAAGAAGCTCAGCACAGTGCACAGGCTCTGTAGCACCGGCGAGGATCCTTAAAATACTTTGGGTAGATTTTTAACTCAAAATTTTTATGGAGTATTAAATCTTTAGTTATAAGTACATTATTAAATAGTTTTTATTGTTGGGGGGGGGGGGGGGGGGGGGGGTGGTTATTTGAGATATGTGACAATATCATCATAAAAAAACTGATCATAATAAAATGTTTAAGTTTGTTAAATTTTCATCTACTGAAAAATTTGGTCAGCTCCTGAGGCTTAAGGGTTGTAAATGTGCTTTATAATTTTGAAATACCCCATTTGAGCTTTGAGTTAATTTTAACAATGGTATGGAGTGCTGACTTCTCAGAGAGCATTGACAAACAATGTAATGTAACAATTGCACATATATAATCCATAATGTTTCCATGCTCTTGTAAATCATACTATACATTAAAAAAAATTATTAGATTTTGAATTTTCAGTTATCCTGTTTTAAACTTGAAAGGGGATTAGATGCTAACATTAACATTTGGAACAATATTTATTTCATTACAGCAAATATATATTTTTTCTTCTTCAGGAAATAGATACCTATAATATCTATCTTCAGCACTTACTGCTCCCAGTAATCAAACAGGTGTGGATAAATTTTAAAAAGTAGTACAGTTTATTAATTTATGCTGTTTTAAAAGTAGTTTAGAATATTACCGTGTGCATATTAATTATGTATGAACATACTAAGATAGAAGTATTTTTTAATAAACAGTATTAAAGGTATACAGTATTCTGGTGAATTTATGTTTTTATTTTAAAATTAAACTTGAGTGCATGCCTGCTTGCATGCACATTAGTATTGTTTACACATGTATGTAAGCATCAAAGTATTGTGCAACCTGTTATGGCTACACACAGATCAATAAGATTTTCACATTACAGATTAGTTGATTAAAATCTATTTTCTACAACTTACTTTTTCTTAACCCAGACAACTTTTTCCTGTGCATATTATAAGCCCTATGCATATTCATCTTCTTGCAGTATTTTATATTTGTATCAGTCTTTGGTCGGCTCTGTGGCTAAGTCGATGCGAGCGCTTCATAATGCCGAGATGCTGGGTTCGATCCCAGCTGCAGGCCATGCGCCTTGGTTTTGACTCTGGTATCAAGAAAGCTGACAGCCCAGAAAGCAATAGCAAACTACTGGGCATAAATTTGCCTAGAAAAACCACACAACAGCCAGAAACTGTTGGGGTCGGTTCTGCAACGTCCTGTAAAGGATACACAACTAACCTATCAATGTTTGAGTGACCATTCTGCTAAATATTTTTTCTATCATATTTTTTCCTTTCTTTTTATCCTTGGGATAAAAATTTATTGATAAGTTTAAAGTTGAGAAAATCAGGTTTATTTCACTGGATTTCCTAAAATGTTGCCTGGTCTTTTCCCACAGAATAGTTCGCTGACTGCCAAAAGCATCACACACACACACATATGCACGCATGCACACACACACACCATACACACACCACACCCCACCCACTCCCCCACCTCCCCCCCCACACACACCACCCCCCACACACACAATTCCATAGCTCTAGTGATGATTCCATGGGATCTGCATAAAAATTATGCTCAGTACCAAATTATGCAGTCAGTGAAATGAACCCATGAACTTCAGAGCTTGAGACAAATAGCTTTTAACCATTTCACAACAAGTTTTATTGTTATGTTTTGTTTAATTTACTGCGGTTCTGATCCATACAGCAGGGCAAAAGTTACATTCATCATTATCATGTGCCCTGCCAACTGGCATAGGCGCTCATGCGTCTCCACAGATCATGATCCCTGGTTGCCTGGAACAGCTCTCTTGATGATATCCCTCCATGCCATCGTTTCATCCCATCTAGCATCATCTCTCTTGGTCTTTTTCTACCCCTTTTTCTACTGATCTTTCCAGTTGTCACGATGTTCTCTAATGCTTCTCTTCTCATTTGTGGCCAAAGAAGCGTGTTTGTCTCTTTCTTATTGTTGTATATAGAGAGCTACTTTTATTAGCCTCTTTTAAGCAATCGTTAGTTACTCTGGCCGTCTAAGGTATTCGTCTCAGAAACCACCTCTGTTGCTTCCAAATTCTTCTTAATTTGTTCAGTGGCATTCCAAGATTTGCTGCCATACAGCAGAACAAATTCTATGTAACATTTTAGCACCCTCTTTCTGACATTAAATGAGAGCAATTTATTGCATGAGATATTTTTCATTTTCTGAAATGCAGGTTTTGCTTGACCTATTCTGCTTTTAATCTCAGTCACACATTTTCCATCTGATGATATGAATGTTCCCAGATATTCAAATTTTTTGACTTGGTTAAGTCTTTTTCCTTCAAATGAGATATCACAACGTGGAATTATCATCTTCTTTGATATAACTATTACTTCTGTTTTCTTAATATTCAATGAAAGTCCTTTCTTAGCACTCTTCATCCCCACAGTATCCAGCAGTTGTTGTAAATAAGTTGCATTTTCAGCTATCAAAACTGTATCGTCTGCATAATGCAAATTCTCCCTAATTTCCCTCAAAATTATTCCACTTCATAGAGGGAAAAGGTCTGAGGATAAAAGTAACATAAGCGGTGCGTAAAATAATAATTTCACTGTCAAATGGTGACTTATTCATTGGATATTTTAATTAGAAATACAAAAATTAAATAAATAACCGCTATGTTG